CAGCAGCCGCGCTCTCTCCATTACGGTCCGCGAGTACAAGCGCTCGCTATATACCGACAGTGCACACACGCTCGCACTCCATCTAATGAACACCGCTGTCAGCGTTCTGTATGCGCCGCACGAATGCACGCATCTATACTAGCAACGCTGCATAAACACGCCAGTAGCTACTACTAACGCATGCAGGAGAGAGGATTTCCAGTATCGTACGCGCGCGCACGCGCGCGCTCGCACAGCTCACGCGTACATATATACGCGCGCACACACGCGCACGCATGCGTATGCCGAAATACGCGCGTACGCCGAAATACGCGCGTACGCCGAAATACGCGCGTACGCCCGCGCATCCTAGGTTCTATCGTCGCATGTATGAGTATCTCAGATGTGTGTATCTCATGTGTGTGTGTATCTCATTGTGAGCATCTCATGTGTGAGTATCTCATTGCCTATAACTCGATTCTGGAAGGGCAGCTAGTTCGTTTCCCCGTGTGTTCGATCGACGAAAAATGCCAAACATTCTCTCATACGCGATAATCACTTGGCACGGAAGTGACGTCACAGGCATAGCGCGTTTAATTCCCAATGATCGATAGTTATTCTAGCTGTGCTAACCAGAAAGTCCGATAACCAAAAAACAAACAAACAAATGAGCAGCGTTTATAAACCATCGTTAGATGTCGCTCTAGGCCTTAAGTTTACGCACAGTTCACGCAAAAGGCGAAACCCCGTTGTGACGTCGTTACATCGACTAACGAATCATATTTCCACAAATGTCCATCACATCTCTACCGCGCGTACGTCACAGCAATGCTCGTCACCATTCATAGGTGGCGCTAGCAAGCTCTTCGCGGAGAGTGGATGTGCTATAGCTAGACTGGTACCCGTCTTTTCTCACAAGCTCGATATAGCTCCCTAAATCGAGCTTGTGAGAAGGGACGGGTACCAGTCTAGTGCTATAGCGAGGCACTAACGATGGGGGAAACGCATTTCGTACGAGTTAAACTGTTTATAGTCGTAGACATCCATATCCACCTACGTGTTATAAAACGCCTATCGTTCTGCGACCCACTTTCAGATACCATGCGAAGATAATGTGGCGAATGTAGAATTCGTATCATTGAGTAGAATGCGTTTACCGATCCCTGCATTTATTTTAAATCGTAGCCGCTCGCTATTTGAATCCCGTTTATTTTTCGCGCATTAGTAATTTCTCCTTTGCGGCGAACGAATGACCAAACTCGTATATAGGGAGAATGTAGAGCGCAGGAAATGCAAACAGCTATAGCCTGACGTTACAGTCAGGCAAGGATATGTTCGTGCTGGTGGGCATGTGGTCGTATATATAGGCCTATATAGCATACACTGAACAAGCTTGACTATACCATACAAGAACATTGAAGCATTGCGACCATATATACCTACTTGTTATATAACTCGACTTCATATTTAATGGTTTCAAAACTCATTTATATAGCAAATGCTGGTTAGGTATGTACGCATATGCCTGATTGCATATGTAATGTTTAAAATTAGGTTCTGGGGCTATTCATAGTAATATTTCACTAATTTTGTAACGAAATTTTGACAGAACGGTTGCCGAAGACAAGATAATATATATGCTTTCGCTATCTGGCGTAATATTATATAGCTCAGCAAACCATAGCATATTACACACACACACACACACACACACACACACACACACACACACACACACACACACACACACACACACACACACACACACACACACACACACACACACACACACACACACGACACACACGACACACTACACACACACACACACACACACACACACACACACACACACAACACACACACACACACACACACACACACACACACACACACACACACACACACTCACTGACGTGTGTTAGTAGATCGCTGGGGATGGCGAGACTATTGGCAGCCGACTGCAAGGTCGCACGCACACTCACATGCACGCACGCACGCACGCCCACGCACGCGCGCGCCCACTCACGCCCGCACGTACGCGCACACCCCGCACACGCACACGTACATGCACGCGCACACGTAAACGGGACGCCCGCCCGCACGCACACACGCGCACGCACGCACGCACGCGCGTGCGCATATACGTATCCGGGGCACGCATATATATATATATATAT